ATTCCGGCTCTGTACCGATAGCACGGGGCAATGACAACAGAACGGGGCATTGACAACAGAACGGGGCATTGGCAACAGAACGGGGCAATGACAGCAGAACGGGGCAAAGCCAGCAGAACGGGGCAATGGCAGCAGAACGGGGCAATGGCAGCAGAACGGGGCATTGCCAAGTCGCCGCGGCCGGCGGCCAGCAGAACGGGGCATTGGTTTGGCCAGGGGAGCCGGCGGCCAGCAGGACGGGGCATTGCATATTTTCTCAAAAAAAAACGTATTTTTATGGTCTCTCGCCTACTTTTTTCTCTGATTATATTTTTTGGATTCACAGAACTGTTTGTCAACCAGGCCGAACGATTCTAACTAGGGAAGTCCAAATTACCCCGCAACACCGATCGGAATGAGAATTTGTACATTTATAGATGCGACCAGGCTGATAATCGCCTCGATTTCCGAATCTGCTGCAGAGCCTAGAGATTTGAGATATTGAAGTTTTGGTGTCATTTTTTGGGCCCCGGAAAAGGGTTTGTCAGGATATCGAACTTTTTTTTCTATAATCTATCATCAGGCAAAAAAAGTAGGCGAGAGACCATAAAAATACGTATTTTCTGAGAAAATATGCAATGACCCGTCCTGCTGGCCGCCGGCCCCCCTGGCCAAACCAATGCCCCGTTCTGCTGGCCGCCGGGCGCGGGGACTTGGCAATGTCCCGTTCTGCTGGCAATGCCCCGTTCTGCTGCCATTGCCCCGTTCTGCTGGCTTTGCCCCGTTCTGCTGTCATTGCCCCGTTCTGTTGCCAATGCCCCGTTCTGTTGTCAATGCCCCGTTCTGTTGTCATTGCCCCGTGCTATCGGTACAGAGCCAAAATTCCTACCCCTATCGTCCGCCGCTTCTCCTCCTCGCTCGTCGCGCCGGCACGGTCATTTCGGCTCAGCAATTCGACGGCAAACACGTGGATCTGAAAGGGGAAAACCTAAGTGAAAAAAGATACCAACACACCTCTTTATGAAACTGGCGGCTTGCCGCGGGGAGCTGACCGGACGGGGGTTGCAGAACATCCCGGAGGACCGTCAGACAGCACAGGGTCACCACCTCGGAAAGCCAGCGATACGGGAAACGCTTCACTGTATTGCCCTAAAAAAAGAAAACTCAGAATCGGGCTCGACAAATATGGAACAACATTATAAAGGATGCGGGGAAGAGCTCTAGCGATGATTGCCAGGCCAGGCAAGCAACGACGAGTTTTCAAAGCACAATTCAGTGGGGAACTATTCGTTAATCCTTACAGGGATCCGAAATACCTGGAACAAAGCTGCATCTTGCTGCTTGAACGGAAAGTGTTAGAAAATGACAAAAAGAACATAGATATCATTTTTTATAGATAAATAAAAACCAATTTACAGGGTGTCCCAAAAAAAAAGACCCCCCCAAAAATTTGAGCCAGAGGGCACCTACAGAGCTGAAAATTTGCACAGAGGTAGCGAAGCCAATTTCCCATGTATATGGAAAGTTTGAGCCATATCGGCCGACGGGTTTTAAAGTTATAGCGAAAATACTTTTCATTTTTAATTTAATATGGGGATTTTCGCAATTTGCATCAAAAATATGCGTTATTCTTGAATTTACGAGCCGATTTTGCATAAATTTTGCCAAAAAATCCATTCTCTTGCTGGAGTATGGCGAGAACGATTGCGTATGAAGAGTAAAAAGAGTGTGAAAACATCTGTTTTATCGATCCAAACCACGCCTTATTGTGCATTTTGGCAATCTGCTTCGCGCTAGCCCCGAAACAGATTTCGATGAGCTTTTAAGTGGTGCTTAAGTTTAGATTTGGGCTTGGGTTTAAGTCAGTCCAAAGTCTAAGCGAAGTTCAGGCGCTGAATGATAGTTTCAACCAATGTATCTTGTACTCAGCGGTCTTGCTGATCGTTTTCGCGCTGCATGAGCAATCGTTTTCCAAAAGCTCCAGCAAGAGAATGGATTTTTTTGGCAAAATTTATGCAAAATCGGCTCGTAAATTCAAGAATAACGCATATTTTTGATGCAAATTGCGAAAATCCCCATATTAAATTAAAAATGAAAAGTATTTTCGCTATAACTTTAAAACCCGTCGGCCGATATGGCTCAAACTTTCCATATACATGGGAAATTGGCTTCGCTACCTCTGTGCAAATTTTCAGCTCTGTAGGTGCCCTCTGGCTCAAATTTTTGGGGGGGTCTTTTTTTTTTGGGACACCCTGTATATCCACCTCTTGTACTTCAACGGCGTACTCGTCAAGACGCGTCAATACGGCAGGGCGAACGAGGCGTTGGATCTGAAACAGAAATACGTACAATAATGTTGTAAACGCAAATTTGGCACAGTCTTCATGCAGGAATCAATTATCTCACCAACCGGATCAAATAGAGCCTCGGCGTGCTTCAACTCAATCGTCGAGCAGCGCTCCGGGTTTTCCGGAAAGCTGGTCCCGTGCCGGTTGTAGATTGGCTACAAAGAACATTATCGTTTTATGATTACATTTCTTACCTCATTCGGGCGCTCCATAGTTTTCTGCGCGGGCTTTTGATTCTCTACATCGTCCTCGGTGGCCTGCCGGAAGCCGTCGATCAACTTTTGCAACTCGTCCCCATCGCTCTCCGTAGCGTGGCCCATGCGAAAAATCTCGCTGAAATCAAGGAATCGTCATCAAGCGTAAAATGTCTTACCTTATCAAAGGCTTGCTGGGGTCCCGCGATGATCGACCAAATGAACGGAGCAACCCGAGCACTAGACATATTTTCTTCACAGTCGACACTAAAAATGATTTATTAATTGGAAGATTTCTGCTAAACTGCTTACCAGCTTCTCCAGGAGCGCCTCGTTTGCTTTCCACGTTGTTCAAAATCTCGTCCACAACGCAAGCGAGTAGGTCTGAAAAAAATAGATAAGCAGGGGTCCAAAAGCTATACAGTTAGATTAATCTTCGAAAAAAATAAGCTACCTAATTGAGCGACGACAATCGTTTCTCGGTGTTCAGGGTGCTGTGCGGCCAGCTCAGAAAGGATTGTGTTGAAGCAGAAGGCGAACTGCTCAAAGATGGTGACACCTATGAGAAATAGCAATAGCTTCAACCAAAACTCACGATCCCGTTTGTTCAGAAACCCATTGTCGCTCCATTTCATGCGGGGAAGAGCCGCGTAGTATTGGAGGAGCCACGGCAGAATGCGGTCGATGTGTCGGCCCCTCGAATACAGAACAAACGTCCCCAGCGAGAGAAGCGAGCAGCGATGCTTGTGACCAAATGGCTGTTCATTGCTGACGAACTTCTAAATACATTATTTAGTTATTTCCTTGGGCTTAGATTGCGAGGAAGATTTGCCAACTCCTCACCTCGTATTGCAGAAGGCTCTTCACCTCCGATAGCTTCGCCGTGTCTAACTGAAAATATAGTTATCAGCAGCCTCATAAAATCCCAAAGCTGATTGTAAGATTTTCACAAAAGTAAACGAAATTTGTAATCGAAATCGCGAAAATACCGACCCTTCCAAGCGCCTTGGCGGTGTTGAAGAGGCTTTGGAAGAGGAAGTCTTCATTCTCCCTCATTCACGCTTCTGAAATTCGATACCCTTTTCGAGATCTACGGGTTTAAAACAGATTTTCTTGTTTATCGGATTTGCCAAATTGCCGCAGGCGGAAAGGCCGGCAAAACCGAATGCGACGAGACCACTGAGTACGGGCGTCAATAGTAGCGGTTCGTAGAGGGGTTTGCCCTCTTTAGCTTGATGATTTAATAATCTGATTATTTCACTTTTTAAATCGCGTCTACCCTAAAATTGTCTAAAGCAACGATATTAGCCAAGCTAGTATACAAACCTACTCAGCCACCTATCATATTGCGGGATTTCGGGTAAAATCCAGGGCCAAAAAATCTTTAAAATATAGATCCGGGAATCCCGATGTATTTCGGCAAAAACTGTGTCAGCTCTACTATTCAATGGTCAACACGTAATCTTTCTGTTGTCCCTATCAGTTGTCATCACACACAGTTGCCGCGGCGGGGGTTCGAACCCGGGTGCCGCGACTGGGAGGCGCCGTTCCTTACCCCAACGCCACACCGACAAGCCGGATTGGGAGCAGCGATTGGCCTGTTGAAAGGCGGAGCGGCGAGCCGGCCCAATCTGGTGGGACGCTACATATTATCCAAATCATTTCTTTTTATAAAACAAAATTTTTTTATTTTTCTTATCACAGATCGAGTGGGAGCCCATTAATTTATAGCTAGTCTTTTGTCACAAGTATAGATTCGCCTAGTACCGCAAGCGCAAGAGTTTTAAAGGTATTTTTGGTAAAAAATAGGTGTATTTGCGGTGATAAAAACGATTTAGAAACTTTAGAAAATGCGGAAAACCTCGATTTTTATGGAAAACTGAATTTTTCGTATTTGTATGAAAATTTACAAACCTTTTCTCGGTGCTCAAGCCAAATTTCCGACTGTTTCTGGGTTATCTTACGATTTTCGGGTTGTGAAGTACAAAACAATACAATCAGAAATCGTAATAATTTATTTTACAAAACAAAACGAGTGCGTTATGTGGAAGTGAGCATTTGGAGGACCAGTAAGAGGTGAAAGGGGTGTTGGTGGTAAGTAGAACTGCGTGGGGGTAGGGCCATGAGTTTTGAGGGTGGGAGAGGGTTACAAGGAATCCGTACCAGTATTCAACGAGGAATCGAAAATGTGATAAATAATTATTTAAATGGATAAATCAATAGTTTAGCATGTGAGCCCGGGAGGAGCGGTCAGAGTGGATTCGTTGGGTTGATGTGCTGGAGGAGTGGAGCACCTAAAATTATAATTTAAAGTCGAAAGTTGGCTTAGACTTAGGCATGGCTTAGGCTTAGGCATGGCTTAGGCATGGCTTAGGTTTAAGTTAGGCTTAGGCTTAGACTTGCGCTTAGGCTTAAGACCTAGGCTTAAGTTAGGCTTAGGCTTAGGCTTAAGTTAGGCTTAGGCATAGCTTAGGCTTTGGCTGAAACTTAAGTTAGGCTTACGCTTAGGCATAGCTTAGGATTAGGTTTAAGCTTAGGCTTGGCTTACAAGGGAAGTGCATGACCGGCCCACGAGAAATCGATACGAGACATAGTGGATCTGATAGAATCGGACACGGGGATTCCGAATCTGTAATCAGAATCTGCTAAATAAAACGGAGAAAAAAGTTATGAAGCTTTAAAGTTGGCCAAATCACCAAAAACCGTACCTTTAAGGGCCTGTAAAAACCGCGGGAACGGAATTGAGCAGAAAAGAGTTAGTGCATGTTGTTCAGCAGAAAAAGCACTTTTGAATGAGCTATCGTACTTCAAGTTTACGATGATTTCGCGGAAATCTCTTCTATGAACTTGACAGGCCATACCCTTGCCCGTGAATCCACAAAACTTTTTTCGGTGAATTATTTGCAAATGGTACGTATTACAACTTATTCGAAAGCGCTTTTTCTGCTGAACAAGATGCACTAATTCTTTTCTCCTCAATTCCGTTCCCCCGGTTTTTACAGGCCCTTAAAGGTACGGTTTTTGGTGATTTGGCCAACTTTGAAGCTTCATAACTTTTTTCTCCGTTTTATTTAGCAGATTCTGATTACAGATTCGGAAACCCCGTGTCCGATTCTATCAGATCCACTATGTCTCGTGTCGATTTCTCGTGGGCCGGTCGTGCACTTCCCTTGTTAGATTTAGCTTAGACTATTTATCATCTAGATCTCACCGGCACCCGATGCGAGAATGAATGAGATCGGCAATCTGTTGGTGAAGAGCGTGCCGAGTCACCGTTTTGATCTTTCGACTGGATGACCCACGACTAAAATGACGTTTCATTTATTTTTTATTTCATTCAAAGTATGAAAATATTACGATAAGATTCAATAAATCAAATTTAGAAAAACTTAAAATTTAGACAATTTAGTTAACTTACGCAAGCACAGCATAAAACGGCGAACACCACGAGGCAGAGAATCGTCGCCGCAACGAGGACCGCTGTAAATTATTGTGTACAAATATTAGTTTTTTTTAATTATATTTTTTAAGTCCCGGTTCTTTGACATTATCGGGGGGTATCAGGGCGGAAACAAACTTATTTCTGTTGTATCCAATTTTTTAATATAAATAGGAGAAGTATAAACTGTTTTTTGTTGTTACTGTTCTAAACGTAAAAACTGCACAAATCCTACTATATATAAAAAAATAGTGTTTGTGTGTGTGTGTGTGTGTGCCACTTTGCATCCACTTCCGTGTGGCTGTCCGGAGGATATCTCGATAGGGGAGGAATTTTAAGGTATGTATGATACGTCATTAGGTGCGTAATGGTCTGGAGATGACTGCACGCATATCAGATTAAACAAATTCGCCTATTTTCGACATTAAATTTAAGTTTTTGTAAAAATCTCTTTGTTAGGAACAATTAGCGTAGACCGGAAGTGGGGATTCGACTACATAAAGGGACTCAACAGGTAGTTTTTCATTTTTTGTCATCTGAATTCAGGAAAATTATGCAAAGTGAAGGATAAAACGGGGTCAGACGGGGCCAGGGTTGAAAAGTCGCGAAGCGGCTTTTCAACCCTGGTTTTTATTAACAAAATAAAGATGAGATTTTTCCACCAAAAAGGATGATTATAGACGAAAATTAGCACTTTAAAAGTTTTTTATGATAGTTTTCCACTTGAAATATAGTTACATTTTACTACAAATACAAAAAAAATTCGCCCCCCGATAATGCAAAAGTACCAAAAAGTTTGTCTCACCCCAGTAGATGGATTTCCCATCAACTTCGGCGGGTTCAGCGACCTGGGTGGCGAACCAGGTCTGCGGTTCCGCCACGTATATCCCGTTTTTGTGCCGAACTAACAACGATCCGTCCATCACCTGAAATTCAGACTTTTCATGTATCCTCAAGCTTAAAAACATACCGCTTCATGAATGCGTTGCGCCTTGACGCGAGCATCCGGGCTCTGGACGACGAACCGGACGGCATCCGCACCTCGCAGCGACAGATCCCGAACCTCACGCTCCGTCAGCCCGAATCGGGACAACAGCGCCGCGAGCAGGTCGGCCTTCAGCTGCCCCCGGGCTTGACTCTCGACCTTGGGGCCCTTGAGCATGAAGCCCATTTCGTACTGCTCGCTGACGCGGCCATCGTCGGACAGTAAGGGGGTGTCCATGTTGAAGCCGATGCCTGAATTATGCGGTTTTGAAGCTCAAACTTCTACCGGCTACCTTCACAGAATCGTTCGCAAAGATCGCGGGTGGGGAAATTGTTCAGGTTGCCTCCACAGCCTCCATATTCCATTGGCAGGCATGTCCGCTCGTCGGCCGAGTAGTAGTAGCGTTGGTTGGAAAGGGAACAACCGCCGGGGTCAGCTTTGACGTGGCAGACATGTCCTAAATTGTTTGGTTAATCGTCTACAAGTGCAACAACTTTTTGATCCATTTTTTGAAAAAAGCGCTGAGGTGTTTGAACCTATTTTTCACTATTCCTAAACGCGAAAACGTTCCAAATTATCTCATTTTTAAAAAGGCGAAAAATACCGATTTGTCCGGCAAAAAAAGGCCGATTTTTGGCCAAAATGTCGACTTCAGGGTTTTTAAACGTTTTTTTAAGTGGGTTTTCTAGTTTTCCTGGTTATTTCTAGTTTTTCCACTTTTAGCCGCGTATAAAACCCTTGGAGATGGACACGAAACCGTTTACAAATAAATTTTTTTTGAGACAAAGAGAGTGAAAAACCGGCAATCTATAGAAAGAGCTCTATTGATGCTTTCCGAAATATAAAATATACATAAAAAAATACTCTAAAAAGCCGGTGCCTACTTTTTGTGACGCAGCAAACCCCAGCCGTGCTTCCGGGTTTGGTGAGGCAATAGTGTGTGGCGGGACATCCGTTTGCCAGTGCCGTGCATTCGGCCACCGAGCCTTCAGCTCCAACTGAATAAGGCTGACCGTGCGGGCATTGCGAACTCGCGGGCGATTCTGGAAAATCTTCATTTTCCGCACTAATTACGACAATAAAACGTATACAACCTGAAACCCACCACCCCCTGGGCAGCACACGCCGCGTCCATTCCCGTCCTCGCCAGCGCAATAGTAGTCGGCCGGGCACAACATCGAGCGGTCTTTCCTGTGAAAGGTATATATTTAATGGGAAATATCATAATTTTCATAATATAGTTTTTCGCGGTAAGACTCCAGATACCCCAGGCTCCCCAACTTCTGTATCTGGGCGCCCTGTTGTGCTACCGGGTTGTAAAGTATCCCAAAATGTTCCTCTTGATTCGGCGAGTACTTTGGTATACCTTACAGCCCGGTAGCAAAACTGGGAGCTGAGATACAAGCCGGCTGTTGACAGTCTACACCTACTTGCACTCAAACGGCGCAAACGTCCTCGAGTCGGAGGCGGGCGGATGTCCGCGAGAGCAAGGGTTCGGCTCGCCTAAAATATGACTTTCTATCGGGCTACAGTATGGGCTACAGATCGGCACAGGCAGACAGTGGCTCTCGTCACATTCGGGTGTTCGGAGGATGCAGATGGAAGAGTGCGGGCACCGGATCAGGGAGCACGGATCACGACAGGGGCAGCCTGCAAAGATTAGTTGGCTGAAAGGAACTGTTTTCCTGATGATCAAATTTTTCAATATAAATATAATTATTGTACCATTTTTTAATATAACTAAATGTCAAAATTTTACAAACTTTTATAACGCAATACGAAAAATCGGGTTTCATACCGAAATCGCCGATTTTTGACATACATTTAAAGTTTTCAGGGCATTTTCGAAGTTTTTCAAACCATTTCTTCCACTTGAAATATCGCTAAATTTTAGTTATTTTTAGGCTTTTTGTATACTTTTTAACTCAAGGAAATAACATACCAGCAAGCGGACACCCCACACCGTCGGTTTCCACCCCAAACGGACACCCAACGACGCATCGCACCGCGCACAGAGCCAGCGGTGCTGAAACATTTTTGTCTCTTAAGCAAACTTGCTTTTAGAATAGAAATAATACAATAATCAATAAAGAATTTATGTCTAATTTAATACCTGAGCAAACGTCTTGCCCGATTAGTGGGACTTTTTTCGAGCCGAGCACTTCGGCCCCGGTCGACGGCTCGACACAGCGGCAACTGCCCGACAGTTCGCATTGCACCGTGGAGAATTGGCCTGGAAAAATAAACAATGAGTGATAGCTATTAATTAAAGAATAAAAACCTAAAAATATTATTAAAAACTAGCACCTACCATTGGCATGTTGACAAACCGGCTCCGCGGCCATCACTTGGCCGCCTAGATTGCGTATCGTGTCGTAGCTGACGCGCAAAAGATTGCAATCTATAGATATGGATACAAGTATAAAAATTATATATATCAGGTTGGAAGCTAAGTCCTGTCGCCGAGATTTTGGAAGGCTGGCTAAATTCGTAGATAGCTTCATTCTGCACATGCGATATGCCATTTTGTAGCTCTAGGCCTGAACCGTTTCGGGAGGTGGGTCCTAGACGGCCAAAATCAAGGAGGGCCGAGATACAGGCCCAAGAAGTTTTTCGAAAAATTATCAAAAAGTGTTTTTGCAAGTTATCTCTGCATAGAGATATTTGCATGCGATACTTTTAACGCCAATCGATAGCTCTCGATGAGTAGATATCGATAGATGTTCAGATCATCAAAATTGGACATTGGATGGCCGAGATATGGGCCCTTGAAATTTGGCCCATTTCTTAGAACTTTTCTCGAATTTCCATACATTTCCAAACATTTGACAGATGGGTGCCGAAAATTGCCGCTCTATTTTTGGACGCGCCGAGCAGATTTTGACAAAATGTATGGGAAGTCGGGAAAAGTTATAAGAAGTGGACCAAATTCCTAGGGCCCATATCTCGGCCATCCCATGTCCAATTTTGATGATCTGAACATCTATCGATATCTACTCATCGAGAGCTATCGATTGAGCGTTAAAGTATCGCATGCAAATATCTCTATGCAGAGATAACTTGCAAAAAACACTTTCTTGATAATTTTTCGAAAAACTTCTTGGGCCTGTATCTCGGCCCTCCTTGATTTTGGCCGTCTAGGACCCACCTCCCGAAACGGTTCAGGCCTAGAGCTACAAAATGGCATATCGCATGTGCAGTATGAAGCTATATACGAATTTAGCCAGCCTTCCAAAATCTCGGCGACAGGACTTACCTTCC